CCGCCCCGCCCCTCCACTCCGCTTGCGTAGCGGCTCACTTAGGAGTCCCGGAGCCGCGCCGCTGAGAGAGCTGCCTTCCAGGCGCGGTTGGTGGAGGAGTGGCCCTGCGCTTTCCCCGGGCTTCTTGTCCGGCCGCTGCCGCCTTCGCAGCGGAGGCCGGGAGGGGAATGGTGAGCGGAGTGCTCACTGTTCATCGGCCCGAAAGGGGGCCGGGCCCGAGGCTCATGGTGCACCGGGATCCCACCGCCCCCTCCAGCAGCTCTCCCGTGGCATTGCGCTGCCTGCAGGCAGCCCGGGGGGTCACCGAACACAAGAGGGCGACGAACAGGGGGACAGAGAGTGAGGAGAGGGCGGGGTGGGGAGGGCGGCCTGCGTAGCAACCGGCGCGTGTCTCCCGCAGCAGGTTGTGACATCAACAGCTGGGTGCCCACCTGTACCCATCCCCCTCAGTCTCCGTCCGGCGGGACTCCATTTCTCACCGCTTCAATCAAATATATTGGGTTTTTCAGGAATTTTTCCTCAAAAAATATCGTTGTCTAATGTAAAAGGTATGGTCCTTACTATTTGCCCTTGACAGAATGTATGTCAAGATGTGTTACGAAGCAAGTAATTTCTGTTATGGGATTTTGATCCTTTGGGGAGGAAAAATTAAAAATAAGCTCCCTTGAGAGGGTTTGAACTTTCGCCCTAACACAGTCTGACGAGTTACAGTCGCAGATGCAGTCTTCTACCACCAACACCTTTGGTTTTTGATAGCTTTGAAGAAAAGTGAGGTAGAAGCATGGATCTAAGTATTTCACCAACGTTATTCACTAATTTAAATGTTTCTATTTTTTTAAATGGGTCCTTGGTTCCCAGATATATCCACACAATTGATAAATCTGTAAGATGGGGTCACAACCACATGAAAGGAGCTAAGGAAAATCTGGAACATCATAAAGCATCCTCAATTCGCTTCAGAAAAGAAAAAAAGATTTCATTACCAGGCTTCGTTGAAGCTCTCCACCACAGTCTCAGTGAATCATAAACAGAAGCCATTGAATAGTTAGTTCAATTCTGTCATTTATTGTCTACGTTGTCTTGGGAACTGTTAGATGTTATGCTGGTGTCATGAACTTCGCTCTCAACTAGTTTACATTCTTGGGTGTCTAACAATATAAAAAGACAAAAAATGGTATTTGCCAAAGTATTGTTTTTCATAAACAGTGACTATAATGAGGATGGGAAGTGGGATGACTAGACTGGTATGGGTTTAGAGAAAATCTGATGAAGGAAATGGGTCTTAAAGTGCATCTTAAAATGACAATTCCTAGAAAAATACTCACTGAATTGTTTGTCCAATGAACAGCTAATTCCGTTTACCAAACTACAACATTTTGTACTTTTGTTCCCTTTCCTCCCTAGAAAGACTAGTGGAAGCAGAGCAGGAAAGCTAATTTTAGCTTCAGATTTCCTGGGAGGAGAAAGAGCACTTGACAGGAGGCACACCAAAAAGCAGTAGTCCAGGTACTTTTCAAATTTATTTATAAAATGGTTCTTGGATTTCAAACTTCACCTTTTTGATGGTAGATTTCTAATCATATCTCACTCATTTTGACCACTTTAGGAAGTAAAGTGTATTTTCTGTTGAATAGTGTTTCCCTTTACACAGTGGCAATCCTTAACCAGAACATTAATTTTGTGACTTTAATTTTATTTGCTTCACTCTTTCTCTGGCAGCTTTACTCATGCCCTAATCCAAACATGTTTGCGTTACTTCCTCATATATTCTAAGAAGTCATTTTGGGGATACATGTAAGCATATAGTTATTAGTATGTGGAAATCCATCAAAAATGTGGGTATAAGGAAAATGTGGTTACCCTCTGAGTGTTAAGCTTAGACAAATAAACCATAATGGCCAAAAGACACAATCTGCTGTCTTGGCAGCATTTCATATGAAAAATTATGTGATATTTTTATGGCAATGTCACAGATTTACTCAAAATACCTTCAACTGTGTAAATAAAATATCCTCAGCCTTTGGATAATAGGGGGAAAACTCTACATATTACACCAACTTGATAAATTTATTCTGTTGCAATAATTTAATTATTTTATATTTGGGTTAAAACACTTAAGCTTTTAATATTCCATCTCTCTCAGTCTGCCCCCCTCAAAATGGCATCTGGAATGATAAGAGGGAGGACAAGGGGTAGCTGCCATGAACTTGAGACACTATTGGAGAATCTCGGTCCTGACATCTGTAAGGTCTCCTTTGAATTCTTGCTGGACTGTTCTGCAGGGAGGCTAATTTTGACTCGTCTCTGAGATGCAATGTGTGCTGGGCATTCTGCTGCTGGTACCTGCTGGTAAAGACTACTCCTGCCTGTCTCAGCTGGGTCAAGGCCCTGTGGCATTCCCTGGTTGATTCAGCCTCACCAACACTGTAGAACCCTCTGAATCTCTACCGCTCTTTCAGTTTCTTGATCCTCAACATGGAAGGCCCCTCTTGCTCTGCTCTCAACACAGCTACTGTCCATAGCATCCCTTGGGGCCCTCTCCTCTCTCACTCTGGGAGGGAGAGTCATTCCTTCTAAACATCCAGTGTCACTGAATTTGCATAAAGTGGTGACCCCTGGCTTGGTTCTGCACAACCAATAAGGCAGTGTGCTCTCAGCTCCCCAACCCTCACCACTCCCCTCAGCCTATCTAATACACCTTTCCCCTATTCCACCTTTCTTTTCCAACCACAAACCCTTGGAATGGAAAGAATGGACCTTTCTACCTTGCTGCTTACTGCCGATTGCCGCCCCCCCAACCCAATATGCAAAACTCTTCAGCCAAGTCGGCGTGGCCAGGTAATTAACATACTAAAAGAGGAGATAAATGAATTTAGAAAATTAATTTCTTTCTTCACAAAGCCTGGCTTTGTCTTACTACAGAACGTCAAAAGTCTGTTTTGCTGGTAAAAGTGGTTGCTTGCCTTTGAAGAAGCGAACTGGGAAGCTGGGGGATGGAATGGGAGGGAGGCTCATGTTTCCCTGCCTACCCTTTGGGATCTTTTTTAATTGGTACCATGTGCAGTGTCAACATTCAGCTGGTTTGCACCAATGCCAGCTCTGCTAGTCCTTTTCAGCTTGCCCAGTCTGATTGGGCAGTAGTCTGCCTGAGTGGCCAGTGCCCATTTAGTTCCAGTTGTTAAATATTTTTAACATTAGTCCTAACCATGTACATAAATAACCTGTTTGCTGAAGGCATACAATTTAGTTGTTTAAGCCTGTTTCGGAAATGTTCTTTAAAAAAAAAAAAAAAAAAAATGAGCAACATTCTTTACATTCCTGATGAGTTAATCCTAATTTCTTCTTTTCCCCACCTCACCCCAATGCACACACAGGCAGAGGGATGCCTCAGGCTGAGTAGGAGGGAGGTCAAGTGAATAAAAATATGAAAGGGAAACCATACAGGGCACAATGTTCCCATCAACAAACACTTATAAACCCTGTTCCCATCCCCCACTCTCACAAATCATGATTTTTGTTCAGGTATCTTCTTTTTTTTTCCTGGCTGTGTCCTTCAGGAGGACATTCCCAGCTCAAGGGGAAATACCATGATGGAGATGAACCAACTTGAATGGGTCATTTCTTCTTGTCATTAGTTTAAGCCTGGGCATGTGATTCAGTTATGACCAAGGATGTATGAGGGGAATTCTTCTGAGGGGCTTCAGCAAGTGCCTTTCTTAGCTGATTTAAAAAACAAAAAATAGGAATAAACACTTCCATGCTAGATCTGAATATTTCCTTATCCAGCTGTGCTGCCTGGGACTCTGCAACCATCATGAAACTGTGAAAAGAACACACCAAAGAATAAGCCAATATGCTGACCATGGCGGAGCAGAAAGATGGAAGGAAGGCAGGTCCTTAGTGTAGTTGAGCCATACTAATCATCTAATTAACCTTGAAACTGTCCTACCTCCTGTTAAGCCTTTCTACTTGAAACCGTTCTCAGTTGGCTCTTTTGTTACTTGCAGCTCAAAGAATCTGAGCCAAACATTTGCTGGTGGACCATCAGATCTGTTTCCCTACCTGTCACGTGCTCTGGTAGGTGTATTGCTGAAGCTGACCCTTACAGACGGTTTCCCGTTTTCCATTGCCAACTGACTTCTGTCTGTACTCAGCCAATGGCAGACACTGGTGAGACACTAGAAGGAAGCGGCCAAGGCATTTCTCCTTCCCTCTCTGTTTCTGGCTGTGGCTTCATTTCTTCCAGGTTTTCAACTTCTGGAAGACCACCCTTCCCTCTTGGGTCCCGGAGCCTGCTGGGCAGTCCCTGCCTTTTCTCAGTGGCTTCTGTGTTTGCCTTGCTCTCACACATGGTCTTTCAGTGCTCCTGACATCTTTGTAATTGTTTTCCATATTAAACATCCTCTTTTGAACTACTTACTGAGAGCTCTCTTTCCTGATGGGCCCCCGATGGATTTTCCGAACAGAATCAACACTGTAGGAGAAGATAGGAAGGCAAAGGAGGATGAAACACTGCGGAAGTGATTCGTCTTCCCCAGAGAGAGGGGACCGAGTTACTTGTCACTGTGAGTTTAAATCCTCTCCTAGTAACTCTGCAAATCAACACAAACAGAAACTCCAAAGTGAGATTAATAATATCAAGTATGGAAAAATAAGGGAATTGACCCTTTTTTAGTCCACCCCAGTTTGGGACGGTTATATTTCAACTCTTTCGTAAATGTCATTATGAATATGCATTTTTCATGCTATTTAATAACACTGAATTTCCTATCAGCAGTATTTTACGTACTACGGACAGCTGTCATTGTTACTAATATTCCTATTCGCAGCCCTAGTGGCCCTATTTATCCTGTAGAATCCAGCTTCCATGCTACAATTGATTAAAATGGAGGGGATATAGTACCAACCTGTGCAGTTACACTCTCTCCAGGGTAATTATTTTACATTTTGGTTAAATTGAGTAAATTGAATAAATTTGTTAAATTTAAATTTGTTAAAGTTAAATTGGTAAAATTGAGATCCCTCTCTTCTAGTCAGTCTCTATTAGTGCCTTACCTTAGAAGGTATATTAACATGATGGACAGCACCCTATTCCTTTGCCCAAGTGGAGAAAGCCAGTCGGTAGAGAAGCCAAACCAAAAATGAAACATATTTTGAATGCAGCTAAAATTGTTTCATGGACTAAACTATGCTGTCCTAGGAAGCAGAGCCATACATTAGACCAGAAATGGCAATAGAGTCCAACAAATTAACTCACATTTCAACTTTTCTTTGATGTTGCTGGGTTTTTTTCATCTTTGAGATGAAAATCTCATCTTTTTTCACCCCCCCCCTCCCCCCGCCTTTACTTCACACATTTATCGACATCCTCTGGGCACATAGCTTGGATAAAGGCAACTATAACAAGATTAGTTCCAGCATAACAGTGGAGGCAAAAGCCTGACACCAGTTTTAAAAAGCAAACAAATCCTAATTCTTAGAGAAATAGAAGAACCCTCCAGCAGAAATATACACCTTTCTTTCTATACATAAAGTTCAATTATTCCAGCCATTCCTCCTTAATACATACACATATACTACTTCTTCAGAAGGACGCAATCCAAAGTACCTTCCAGCTATGTTCCTAGAGGCAATGTCATGAGACCACTATTTTTCCAGTCCAGTGTCTCCAAGTAATTTATTTATTTCTTTAGTTGAGTCTTAATCTGATCCAGTTGTAATATCTCATGATCCTACAGCCTTAGACTATTTCATAAATGTAATCCCTATCAACCACCTCTTACATACCACAATGCAGAGTAACTACAGCCACTATGAAAACTTCCATTTAGAACGTGGAGAGAGGGGAAGAAATCACAGGATATTTGCTGCTGGACAGAGTTAATGAAGCAAAGCAGAGAACCACTTGTTGGCATCATTTGGTTGACTTGACAGTGGTGAGAATTCTATTGTCAACTAATGTGGCTCTCTGATATTGCCTGCTGGAATCATTCCTATCACCAAGGGGACACCTAAAAGGACATGAGAATAGACAACCTGTTTGGGGAAAGAGAAGGATGTATTTCATTTGCAATTGACTTGTTAACAGTATGGGGTGCAAAAATGGCCTGAGGCCATCTAAGGAATTAGGACATTCTGTGCCATTGAGTTTAGTGCATCACAGGCCTGTTACATAGTGTGGTTTTTGCTGGTGCTACGGTTAGAATAAAACCATAGTCACCTGTCTATCAGTTTCATTTTACGGCAACTTACTAAAATTAAACACCAAAAACTTTATCAGGTCAGCATGGCGGCTCAGTGGAAGAGCCAAGGCTGGGCTATACTCATAGATTTTCTGTTCATTAGCAGCAACTCTGGGCCCCACACATACACAGTGCACTTTGTTTGACAAACTTTATTCAGGACAGTGTGGGTGAAGAAACTGTCTGGACTGGCAGAGAACTCTTCTTTCTCTTCTAGAATAGCACCCTGCCCCCAAACTGAATTCCAGGCCAGTGTAGTTTGCAATGGCAGTGTCATACTGTTTGTTAGGAGGGGACCCAGTATGAGGCACTGGGGTGTGGCCCCATGTATCAGGGTACCCCCCATTCTCCATTAATCCCTTCCCGTTGTAGTTGACAGGATCTCCCACTTCCTCAGTCAGCATTTCAGTCTTATGTGCAAAAGGTGAAGCAAGTCAGAGAACTCGACCTCTCTGCACTTCGGTCTGTCTTGATTTGGACCTCAGCATTATTAGTTCCCAACTCCCCTTTTTTTCTGCTCACATTCAGGAAAATCTTGATGGGTGCATGCAAATTTTTTGTTGTACCTTATTGAGGGTCCTCAGGAAAAATCAGCATAATCTGATTTATCAGTCTGGGTACAATCAGGAGAGAGAAATCACACAGTAATTTGACCAGAGAAACTTTAATACAAAATTTTTTTCACTCTAATAGGGGATTGGTATAAGAAGTAAAGAGGACAGTGAAGAATATAGGCTTGAATCCTTGCTTTAGCAGTACATGTCCTAAAATTAGAACCATACAGAGAAGATTAGCATGGCCCCTGCACAAGGATGACACACAAATTCATGAGGCATTCCATATTTAAAAAAAAAAAAAAAATTAAAAGAGAGTTGAAATAGAGTACCCAGAGAAGGGCCCCACCACCAGTAGGATGGACATCCAGACCTTGCTGGAGAGGACTCAGCTGTGGTTCACCGGATGGCAGAGAAGTCTCTGTGGTATCATGCTGGTAGAACTTGCTGGAAATGTATCCTCTAGGATGCAAGGGAAAGCTGTTCACAGAGACATGTATCATGGAGGCATTCCATCCCCCTTACAAAACCATCCAGGGGGACTTTGGAGGAAGATGCAGTCTGTGGGTGCTGTTGGCCATTGTGCACTGCAGAAGCTGGGGTTGGCCCTGTGCGCTATGGGAAGCAAGCAAACCAGAACTGGGAAACAAAACCCTTTTCCTCCTGCAATTTCTCTCTAGTGCCCTCTGTTGGAAAGACCTATTATTATGCCAGCTGGCAAAGGAAAATCATTTAAGGGCCCAAATCTATTGTCACACAGCAAGCAAAAAGAATAAATTTGGAACTTTGAATTAATAGACTGATAACTAGCAGACTGACCCATTGACCTTTTGCTACTAAGTTTTCTAAAGCTTTACCCTTCACAGCCATATGCCTTAAGCAAGAAACTTAAGGATATAGTGTTGGCAATTGCTTTATATCTACATACAAAATCTTATTTTCTCACCCTACAATGCAGGAGTCTGTACTGCCCCAACCCCCCACTGAGCCACGGCTCAGCTAGTTCTGCATTTTCTCTGATGATCTAAAACAATGATCCCACTTCTGGTATTGATGTCTATATTACTTGGGACTCTGAGGTTGTATATTACAGAATCCAGCTTGAACTAGGTAATGGGGGAAATGCATTTTAAGAATGCATAAAAGTATTGCAAGGAATCCATATTAGTCAAGTTTCTTTGCACTGTAAGTGATAGAAATCCAAGTATTAAAATGGCTTAAGCAATAAATAGAATTCTCTAGTTCACATAATTCCAGTAGTAAAGCCAAGATGATATGTGTTTGAAGCCAGACGCTCAAAAGATATCATCAGGATTTAGTTTTTCACTTCCTCTTGGCTCTGCTTTTCTTGAATTCACTTTAGCCTCAGGCATACTTCCCTCATAGTGGTCCCCAAATGCTAAATTATTTGAGCTTAAGATAGTAGTGTGAAAAACAACAATAACAACAGCACCAACAATAAGAACAAAAACTGCCTTCTTGTCTTAAGAGTTCCTTCAAAAATCCTATAATTAAGTGATAGGAACCCAGATTGGTGACTCAAAACAATAAATATCTACTGTGTGCCTTAACCTTTATCCCAAGTCTGGAGAGAGACCAGTGGGTGGAAAAAATAGCAACAGGGAGGAGAGTTGTTCAGTCTCTATATTTAAATACTTTATTTTTGAAATCTCAAGAACTTTACCAGTGAGATGAGATACTTCTTTCCTAAATTTCACTGACAATTATAATTTTCCAAACTGGGTGGCACAGGATTATATATACACCATGGTATTTGGTTTACCCACACACCAATTTCGTTTATTTGTTTGTTTGTTTGTTGTGGTAAAAAAAAAACATATAAAATTTACCATTTTAACCATTTTTAAGTGCATAGTTTACTAGCGTTACCCATGTACACCTTGTGATGCAATGGTTCTCTAGAACTTTTTCATCTTTTAAAACTGAAGCTCTATGCTATGAATTGTGTAAGACTGATGAATCACAGACCTGTACCCCTGAAACAAATAATACATTATATGTTAATTAAAAAATAAAAACTGAAGCTCTATATCCATTGACCAACAACTCCCCCTCCCTCTTGCCCCTAACAACCACAATTCTATTTTCTTTTTTCTTTATTTTTAAAAATTTTTTTGAAAGAGTTTATTTATTTATTTGACAGAGAGAAAGAGAGAACACAAGCAGGGGGAGCGGCAGGCAGAGGGAGAAGCAGGCTCCCCGCTGAGCAAGGAGCCAGATGGGGGACTCGCTCCCAGGACCTTGGGATCATGACGTGAGCTGAAGACAGACACTTAACCGACTGAGCTACCCAGGTGCCCCACCATTCTATTTTCTATTTCTAAGAGTTGGACTAGATGATTACAATTTTTTAATTAGAAAGTTATTATTTCTCTCTTTAAGTTAGTTTTCAAGCTAGCATGCCTCAAGACAATATTTGGAGAAGACGCTTTTGAAATACTGTCAAAGGACAGTATGAGTTTACTTATAAGATTTTGACTTTTTTTAAAAAGATTTTTTTATTTATTCATTTGAGAGAGAGAGGGAGAGAGAGCGAGAGTGTGAGAGTACAAACAGAGGGGAGGGTCAGAGGGAGA